TTGACTGAATTTGAAAACTTTATAACACAAACCTTGGACCATTGCTGGGTCTTATTTATCAGTTGTTGGTGAAATATGACTCAGAAGTTGAATAAGTTAAATATTGTATGATTAAATAGATGCAAAATTTAGACAAAACACAGTAATATGGAACAATGGGAATTTCAGTGGAAGAAAAATTAATATTCACTGTAAATTTCATCTGAATATCACACTTAGAGAAAACTGGTATAAGGTGTTTTGCTGATGGTAAATCACTCCAGTATTGTTTGCTGAAATTAACAATTCATTTACTAAAAACTGTTGGAAATGTTCAGGTTGGACCATTTGTGTACTGTTGGAAGTAACGTAAAGCCCAACAATTTTGGAACATGATTTATAATAGAATGAAACAAATTCTAAAAAGTTGGATTTCTTTTACAAGCTACCATCTTTCTATTAAATATTATTAAAGCTTATATTTCTACAAAGTATACCAAACTAGTTTATTTCATGCTGATAGCAATGTCAGAGGGTACGTAGCCACACCCACACAGCTAATGAGTGAAGATAGAGATGTTTATTACGATACAAGTGTAGTCCAAAGTATACTTACAAGACTTGATATATTTAAGTGTTTATAGTGACCAAGCGTGAATATGTACACTAAGAAATCTAACTATATGGTATACTAAAAGAACTTAACTAAATGGCTTAAGTGTCTACCTTATAATACAAAACCTACTAAAAGAACTTAACTAAATGGCTTAAGTGTCTACCTTATAATACAAAACCTACTAAAAGAACTTAACTAAATGGCTTAAGTGTCTACCTTATAATACAAAACCCTTAGCTGCTAGTTGCTCCCTCCTTCCACCTGACTTATCTACTGGCTTAAAAACGCTAACAGCTTCTCCCCTTAATGCTCTCTTGGCCAGTTCTCCAGCACCTGAACCAGGTGGAGTTCATTCATTCTGCCACCTTCTGCAGTGTCTTTCTGCTGGCCTTTCCTGCAGGACCTTCTCCGCTCCAGCTGCCCCAGGGACCTTCCTGGATCTTCTCCCTGGCCGTAGATCCTCCGGCTTCCAGCTCTCCCAGCCACGCCTCCTCTCTCCACACCTTGTCTGGTGGCCTCTCACTCCAGCAGCATCTCCCCCCAGACCTAGGAGAACCCCCTCCCCTCCTTCTCTCTACCTGCTGGAGCATCTTTCGTACAACCTTTGAAACCCACCTGCCAGCCTGCAGGTGCTTCTAAGGCATGCTGGCTGGGGAATTCTGGGAGTTGAAATCCACACATCTTCAAGTTGCCAAGGTTGAGAAACATTGTTCTAAGTTTTAAACTCCCCCCATCACCTCTCTGCAAGTCCTAGTCGC